CCTCTAATGATCCATTAGGGTTATTGTCTATGATAAACTCATCCACCACCAAGCAAACATCTTTATATGACACAGAGGGTGTAAATGGTTGTAAAAGTGCATGGTTAAAAGGCTGCAGAGGAAAGCGACAGGACACCGTCTCTGTGTTATAATGTTAGAACATTAAACAGCGGTGTTGACCTCTGAGGTGACCTTGACATCCAGCTCCTCCTTGTTGTACAAACATTCTTACTTTTGACTCCAAATCAACCGGATTCAGAGCCAAACAGTTGTTCACACCCCAATAAGTACTTCTAATTAGTAGCATGCCTTTTTCATAAAGAGCTAGCCTGATTTTATAAACACGAACACTGCAGGTTAAATAGCAAACTGACTTCTCGTTAACAATGGGAACCTATTTAAATAACGTCTGTTGAATGGCAGAGCAGCTCGGACCAGTGATCACATGGAAGTTCTTGCAATGAAAAGCCTCATTGTTTTTTATTGGCGATTCATGGTCTGTCTGTGATCTACAGCTCTTTAAACAAGCTTAACTGAGCAGGGCTCGGTCTGTTTAAACTGTGCCACAAGGACTTCAGAGTGAAAAAAGAGCAAACAAAAACTGGAGACAGCCTGTTGGCTTAAGAAACATAATCAAAATACTGAAGTCAACGGAATACCAATGAATAACCAGACCTTTATTTAATGAAGTAGCTCACTTTAATGGTTTATATGTATTAGTTTATTATTTTTGCCAGTAATTACTGAAGCAATTATGGGCAACTCAAACTTACTTGGAAAGATTTCAGATAGTTCATTTAACGATTTTTGTTTTGTTTTTTTGTTTTATTGCAAAGATAAATGAGTATTTTTGTAGAATTTTTCATGTTTCTCTTTTTACATAGTCTTTACTTTAATGCAACAACTATAGTTTGCATTTCTTGTTCACTTTCAACCAGAGTCATCATTCATACCCAAAAGAAAAAACAATGTTTCAACAATTGTTTCTAATGCTCTAATCTTGTTTTTTCTCTATAATATTGCTCAGTTTTTTTGTATCCTATTACTGATGTTTTTTTTTAATTGTTTGTTTAGTTTTACCTTCAACCAGGATTGTTCTAGATAATAATAACATGTAAACGCCTTCTATAATCCTCCATTTGTCTCCCAAAGCTCTTAAATTAACACACTTAGGAAACAAATGCCATCTTTTAAAAACCGCGGAAGTTGGTTGAAGTAGTCAACCTAATACGCCAATACCATAAAAATATATTAGCTAGAAAAATCCAAAGATCTAAATTAAAAAGACTAAATTTCCATTCAGTTCAATAACTGAGTCCAATGAAACCTGATTTACTTCCAAACCTTGATTCAAATTTTAAGTGTTTTCCTTATGTCTCACTGATTTGTAAGGCCCTCTTCTCCCCTAAAAAACACGCATTTGATCATTCTCTTTAAATAAACAAAAGGCCTTCAAACAGGGAAATTCATTCTTTTATGTTAGAAGTTTCTGTTGAAAGGCAGCTCATTACATGCTCATTGGTTTCTTCCTCTAACAAAGCTGATATTTACAGACAACTACGAGGAAAAAAGAGGGACAAAAGTAAATGTAACTTCCCCACTGATATAAGACTGCCTTTAACTATGTAAAGTTAGGACTCTTTTTTGCTATTTTCTTGTGATTATATTATTATATCCAACATTTTCTTTTCAATCTATTTCTTTCCTGAGTTGCTGTGGTTGTCAGGATGAAAAACTTGATCCAGTTAGACTGTAAGGACAGGGATTCTCTGTTTAAAATGAGATTCCAGGAGAAACATCTATGTTTGGATTGTTTAAGTTTAATCAAATTATCATTAAAACTATGTAAAAAAAAATCCACCAGCATAATGACTAAGACAGAAGTTTTCTCATAGGTAAAACAATAAAACAGTCAATAAGGAATGCAGCCCCTCCCCCTCTGGCATCATGGTACCAAACCAGCAGGTTTTCTTTCCACAATGACGTCAATGTTTTTGCGGGATGATTCAGGTGTCGCATTCCAAATGTTATGAACTAATCGTCATGTGGCTCAATCACTTGGAAAAAATGTAGCTTATCTTCTGATGTGGTTTATCAAAATTAAAAATGACTCCGATTGTTGTCCCTCATGTCATGTTATCACATGTACTTTAATTTAGGTCCTACCTGCTAATTCCATTTTTAAACAATTTATATGTTATTCAGTTATGAAAACTACAACATGAAAGAAATTTGATGAAAGGTCATTAAGTAGATTATTGAGTTTTATTGAAATTAAAAAAAGAATACATGGATTACAGGAACTGAATCTGTTTGCCAGTTTAACATAACTGGCATATCAAAAACACAAGAAATATAAAATGCAGTATTTAATAAAATAGACCATCAAAGCTATTCAGACTCTTTATCAAAACCCATTTTTAATTATGAATTAAGCCTCTTTAAACAGATTGCACTCATTTTAAATCAGATGTTACCTAATGGAGGTCAGGGCCAGCCAACTAGAATTATTAGAGGAGGGCTTCAATGTTTTATTCAGAAGATCAGCAAAAACCCAGACCAACATTTGAAACACTTAAGGCATCAATTCTTCCTTAACATTAGCGTTAATTCAAGAATAACAAAGAGACGGAGGCAGAAACAGCCTCCATGTGAGGGATTCACTGGCAACATTAGCCAACAAACAGCCTGATGATCACAGAGAATTTAGGGAAATATTCTATAGACCAATAAGGATGAATTTTAGGATGATGAACATCCTGGATACGATCATTCTGACAATCAAACACCATAGTAGTTACATTTTGTGTTGAGCTGCTGGACCTGATCTGAAGGATCTCCTGTATCCAATGGAACCACGAATCCTGCTCTGTAGAAAGAAATGTCATTTGAGCAGCACTGGGGTTACGCAGCAGAACCATCATTCAAAGTTCAAGTACGCATGTGAATGTTAATCAAACCAAAAGGATGGTTTTGAAGTGGCTTAGTCAAAGTCTGATTAAGAAGCCACGGCATAACCCTCACCAGGCTGTTCAAAAAGGCTTTGAGACGTTTCTCCAGCCGACTCTAGAAAGCAGTCATTTATCAAAGAATAGACTGAAACCAAGACTTATATTTGTCTACCATGTTATATCAAAAAATCTAGAAGCTCTGTAAAATATAACCAAAAAAACAAAACTAACCATTACTATCTTATTGCTGTATTGATTCATAATACTCTGAAACACATTTAAAATACTGGGTACTTCTATATAACATTGGCTTTGGTTAATTAATAGGTGTCTTCTCTGTCTATTATTTAAAAATATCTAGGACCAAATGATGATGATTGATGTATGACAATCCAAACAGATGAGTAAAGAAAATCTTTAAAATAAGCCCTTGAGGAGTTTTATATTCTGTTCTATTAGAGAATAAATTCCTGTCAGTGGAAGAACTTGTTTTACAGAAACCGTTTTCCGATGAGAGAAAGAGAAAAGCCACAACTCTCATCATACCCTGATGGTGAGACAGGTGTTCTTACAAAGCCCCGCCCCTTCCGAGGTGATGTTAAAAAGCTCAGCCAGCCTCCCCACATCAACACAACTCCACAGCATCAGCACTGACATCTGCTCCTAAAGCGGAAAACACTTCTCCCTGCTTCAACCCAGCGTTTAACCTTCAACTCTACATCAAGTAAGTCAAGATTTCATTATTTCTTTAACAAAGTTTGTTTCGCTTGAGTTTTGAAATTAAATGAATATTAAGCAGATGGTTAAATGTGAAGTTTTTTTTCATTAAACTCAATACATTGTGATTCAGTTTGATTAAAAATAATCTAAACCTTAAAAAAAAAAAATTCTAACTTGTTTATTTCATTTTGCGCTCAGATAAAATACAGAATACTTATAAGTAATAATGCGACTTAAAATATTTTTAAGACTTTGTAACATTTTTACTGTTTTCTATCTAAAAATAAAGCTTGTGTAAATAAGATGTATTTTCCTGACAGCAATGGAGCATACAGTGATCCAGGTTATCGCCACAATGATGGTTTTCCTGACTCTGAGTTTCAAGCCAGTGTCGTCACAGGTTAGTATTTATCATGATCAAGCCTTTTATGCTTTAAACCACCTTTTTATGAGCAACTTGTTCTTCGAAGAAGAAAAAAATAATTTGATTTTTAATTCTGAAGATCTGAGCTTTTAAAAATACCTTTCTTTCAGTTTTACAAACTGAAGATTTTGACGGAGAGATTTTTAAAACTAAAAAAATCTTTATTAGACCAAGATTCATGGGAAAAAAAATAGAGCAACAAAAAAAAGATAAAATCTTTTGATTCGGTGATGTTAAAGAGTAACTGATGGTTTACATAGAGCTTAACATTACCAACACAGCGACAGAAGTTAACCATTAGCCATAATTCTGTGGGCCTTACTGGAGACCTTCGATGGTCAGTTTTCTATCAGATTTTAAGATATAAAAATAAGACAATCTTTTGTGTTGAGTCATTTAAAGTGCCATGTATGCTGTTATATTTTCACATTAAATATACTGGGTCAGTTAAGCTATAACTTCCACCACAACATAAGTTAAATATCCTTTGACTGTTTATTGACTTTGACAAAAAATTGTTTTTGTCTTAATTAGGTTAACATTACCAGGACAGGATGTGGCTCTGACAAATTTTGTTTGGAGCAACCTACCGACTGTGACCCTGCAGGCAATATGACCTGTCTTTTTGGATCTGTGGATACCACTGCTATAAAAATCCCAAACGGAATTGACCTGTCCTTTGAACTAAGTGGAAACTCTTCAGGATACATCGCCATTGGTCTCACTCCACGTAATGCTGAGGTAAATCACAAATTCTTTTAGATGGTTAAAAGTAAATTAAACTACAGTAGTTTGATAGTTTGCATCAACAGTGAGAGATTTTACAAAGACAAATGATCACTGTAACATGTGACTCATAGAAACAAGGTCAATATTTAAGGTTTAGTGGTTATCAAATTTTAAAGTTGCTGAAACACTGAACAAATGTTTTCCCAAGTCCCAGTGACGGACCTTCCTCCAACCCCTATATCCTAATGGTCTGAGTCAATAGCAACAGGAATCCACTGCAAACAACAGCTAGATATGGCATAGCGACAGGCCTTTATGGCCTGAATGTGTCAGGTAAAAATCTAAGAACATGAAAGAATAATAAAAAAAAAACAATCAACAAAGGATTTGTCAGGTTTTGTTGATATATTAGCAAAATGCAATTATTACCAATGTTTTTATATTTCTGTTTTCTATTATAAATTTGATTAAAATACAAAAAAAAAACTTTCAACTTTAAATATTATTTAAAAAGTCTCTTTACAACATTTTAACGCAACGATAAAAACACTTATCAGAATGCCTTTCTGTTCTCGGAATAATGTTTAGAACTAGTTTTTTTCTTTTTTGATTGACAACCACTGACTTCTCCTGGGCATGTATATTTCTTTAACTCTAACTCCACCCTTTAACTGAATTACAGGAGATAACGCTTCTCTTTAGATCTAAATTTCCACAAATAATGACAGAAAGAATATTTTAGTACAAAGATTGGTGTTTAAATATGAACTGTAGGGGACCAGCCAAAGGCCCATCAAGGAAACTAGGGAAATTTTGAATGGCTACTACTATAAGCTTTCGAAAAGGATGATTGTTGCAGAGTCAAAGTAATCCTGCATAGTCAATGACTCGATGTGATCAGCTGGTTTTCTTAGAAAACCTTTAAACAATCTGAAGGACGATCTTATTTGATTTTCTCTATAAAGTTCCTGGAGATTACTTTTTTTTGTGAACTGACTCTAAAACATTAACTGCATTAAATATGGAGTTATATAAAATGATGGGCTCCATCCTTTTATTTACTAATGCCTTCCTTTAATAGAGAGACTCTGACATACATATGCCCTCTATTGTTTCATGGCTCTGATTTGACTTGTCTGTAACCTTTAGCCTTTGCATCTCTCTACAGCGTACCCTGCTTTTCATCTGTGGTCAGAACAGCTCAGCAAACATGAGCTTTTTCTCCACAGCAAGGATATTCAATGAAAGCACAGGCAACCTCACAGAAGCAGCAGTGGTAAGACTTTGACTTCATTTTTAACCATTGCATTTCTAAATTAAGGGTTATAACAGTAATAACTGCCTTGCAAGTTATGAGAATCGTACACTACAAAGCAGTGATAAAACAAATAATCTCTAAATGTATTCATTTGAACTGTAATCTCACAATGTGCTTTTATAATACTAAGATATATGAATTCAATACAAACACATCCATTTTGACAAATCATTCCTTAAAATGAGCAACTACAAAATGTGAAAAAAAACAACTTTTCTCTTCAAATTTATCCACAAGGTGTTTATGCAATACTGTGGTACTGATGGCAGATTTCAAATTCACAGGGTATTTCAGTTACTGCACAAAACGTCAGTATGGACAACATCAAGTGTGTGTTTACGGTTGGTGGACTGAATGTGACCACCGTCGGGTCCTCAGCCAGGGCCGCTGAGGATACCAGCTTTAATGTGGTCATCGGGAGTGGCTCGATCAATGGAGGTAAGAGCATTACTATGAACACTTTTCTATGTACATAGGACATCCTATCTGTTTTTAGCTTTTTGAAATGCTGAAGAAATTCTGCTCATTTTTAAATTTTCGATTTCCTTTCCAGGGGAACTTTCAAACTTTGTGTCTGCTAAGACTGTAAGTGTAAATCTAGCCAACTTCCTATCAAACTCCACAACAAACACCACAGCAGCACCAAATGGGGCCAACCATCCTGTCTCCTCTAATGGTAAATAAAGACTGACCTATTTGGGTCTACTTTCTACACATATTTAAGTTGTCTACATTCAAAATAATGTTTTTGTGCTACAGGCTGATTTAACTGGATCTTAATATGTTGCAAAAGCGAACAAATTACTGCACTGATTTCATTTTAAATTGTTGAAGTTTCTGCTTGGCTGTAAATTATATAGACATAGACTTAGACAGATTTATTTTGTCATTTTGTATACACAAGTGTAAACAAAAAGAAATTTCGTTAAGAACAGCTCTCTGGACGATTTAATGTTTTTAAGAGCATCCTTAAAAAACATTAAAAAATAAAATCTATAAATAAATACCGGTACCAAATAAATAAATCTATAAATAAAAACTAAAATAAATCTAAAACAAATGACTTTTTTACGCTGCTCAGATTCTGGTTAATTAGATCAAATTAACTTAAAGATTTCTCTGCTTCCCAGAAGCTTAGAAACTGTCTAAAGGTCAGATTTTATGCAGATACCAACATATACATTAATACATGAAATTATTATCAAACTGCTAGTTGATCATTTTCCAATCTGTCCTGTTTTTTTGTGATTTAATTTCAGTCATTAACACCTTTTGCTGCTTTCTGTTCTCCCTCCAGCTGTGCTGCCTCTGCTGAGCTTCCTCACCTTGTCCCTCCTGAAGTTCGCCTGATAGAGAGCAGAAACAAAGCTGGTATAAACCAACAAAGACACAGTGAAGGAAGCTGATTAAAACAGCAGAAACCGAGTGTCATATTTTTTTTTTATTGTTTTTACGAAGACACTTCA